CTGGGTCTCCCCCCTTCCGTTCCACCTCCTCTCCCGCCCCCTCCCCACGCTTCCATTCCCATTCCCTCCTCTTCCTTTTTCCTCCCCTCACCCCTCAGCTTTCGTGCTACTCCTTCCTCTCCTGGGGCGGCCCCGCCAAAGCGCCAGACAGGCCTCGCCAGAGCGAGCGGGGCATTGTTAAACCCTATCATATCACAAGCTGATTTGCCCCCCCACTCCTTTAGGGCGGCCCCGCCCGAGCGAGCGGGGTGTTGCCATACCATACACCGCCCCTGCGCCTCCCACCGCACCCGAGGCAACCCCGTCAGAGCGCACGGGGTGTTGGCCCACACCATAGTTTTCCTCAGGTTTCGTGTTCCCCTCCTGGGCAAGCCCCGCCAGAAAACCACAGAACCCCCCGCCAGAGACAACAGGGCATCCCTACAGCATACCATTTCACGCGATTCTTGCTCCTCCCACCCTTGCAGTGCGGGACCCGCCCGAGCGAGCGGGGTGTGGTTACACGATGCAATTTCTCAGGTTTCGTGCCCCTCCCTCACCCCCGAAAAGGCCTCGCCAGAGCGCCATGACGGTACCGCCAGAGGCCCCGTCAAAGTTTCAGACAGCTCCGTACATGGGGCTTGCGGGGCAAATCATTGTGCACCCCCCGTGAGCCCGAACCTTCTGATCCCACGGGTGCGATTATCGCCAGCGTGAGGTTTGGCGTCCAGCACCAAAAAGCTTCCCTACTCCCGTGGACGGACTCGACGACAACCGATTGCAGAGAAGTGCGCTGATGACTGTGGGACATCTGCGCGCGCCCTTTGCAGATACTCGACAGCTGAACGGCCGCTGACAAAAGAGCTTGGAGCACAAGAGAGAGGACAAAAACAACGCGCTCCCACGCACGCGCAACGAGGCCCCGAGCCAACCCCAACATCTGGAACCGGCGGAGACCTGCGTGATTGGGCATGGGGAGACCGAGCATATGTGCAAACACATTGAGTGTCGCGGCGGGGCAGAGCGGAAGTGAACGTGTAGAACAAATCGAACAACCAAACAGATGCGGCAACAATAATACACGTCTACACGATTCTTTGCGCTGGTGTGGCATAGGCCCGAGAACGCTGGAACTCGTCGTCGTGGCCACAGCGGGGCTTACAGCGGTAGCGCGCGTGGTTCTAGTACGTATGCATGTGTATGTATGTATGTATGTATACGTATGTATACATGCATGTTCGTTATGCATGCATGCATGCATGCATGCATGACTGCATGCATACACGTATGTGTAAATATTCCCATATGTATATGTATATGAACGCGTGGGGAAACCAAGGATGTGTGCATCTTTCCTTGTGTGTCCCTGGGCCCATTGAAGGACATGGAGATGGCAAAAGAGCTGAGGACGCGGGAGTATGCGGAGAATGAAGACATACCCCCGCTGCCCGTGCTGACCGACGCGTGCAGCCCCGCCGCCGACACCGCCAGGATTTCAGTATCGTTTAACCTATCCTTTTTTGCCATCCCAACCCCATCCCGAGTCCCACTCTCCCGCCACCCCAATTAAGTATATGCGCTTCGAAACCCGAAGGGAACAGCTGATACCCCCATCTAAGGGGGTAAACGGGCCGATAGGGCCTCTGCCACTGGTGCGGATTGGGATCGATGAACATATTCTCAAGGAGCGGCAACACCTACTCCAACGACGAGCCGCGCGTCCTGCACTCGTCGAGTGTCGGGTCCTTGGAGATGCGCCACGCAACGAGCGGCGAAGGCTTCGGAAGGGGGTCGATGTGAGGTTACCGGAGGAAAAGGTAATCACTGCCGCCTTTGTGGGCCTCCTTGAAGGCCCTCGTCGCCACGGCTGGACTCTCTCCGTAATCTCAAGCGGAACGCACCCTTCCAGGGAGTAGCGGTATCAGTTTTTCTTGTGTCCCCCTAGCGCCCGGCGCACCGTCTCTCCAGCATCCCACGAGACGGGAGGTTTGGGCGCCTGTTCGCCGATCGACTGCGGGACGATCATCATTTTTGCTTGCGCGGCATCTCGATGCTAGCGGTATTGTTGTCACCGCGCATATTTTCACACGCGCTCACCCCTGGTCCTACACTGCCAGCCCACGATCCTCAAGCTACCGAGGGTCCTCACCTCCCTGACCCCAGACTGACAGAGAAATCTCCTCGCAACCCTGGAATGGAGATCTGGGAATGCTCCTTGGCCGTGGATGGTCAAGCCGCATGGTAAGGATGAGCACCATTCAAAGAGCACCCTTGCATCCTTGCCCCTTTTCCCCATCCTTGCATCGCTGGCCAACCTCGTTCGAAACCGCCAACATGGCTCTCCAAGGCCATTGCATCCTTACCACACATCCTTCCTTTACCATGCGACTTCACTGTAGGCGCCTTGGTAATGTTATCTGCTTCGCGCCCCTCCCCGAGGCGCCTCCCGGGGCGGGCGGCGGGCTGGCCACGAGGAGGCCGCCGCCCGGAGGGGCCGGAGGGGGCGGTCCGGGTCGCCCGTGAACGCGTGCGCGGCGGAGGAGAGGGGGCCGTCCAAGCTCAGCCACGCGCAGAGGGGGGTGAGGGGCGGGTGGAGGGCTTCTTAGAAGGCACCCCTGCCTCTCAGACGTCGCGGGCCGTAGCTGTAGATTCAAGGCCGGCGGCCTCTGAGAAGTAGCCTCCTTCCAAGAAGCCTTCCCCCCTCCCTAGATCTCTGTGTGCGCACCGCCGAAAGTGGAGCCGTCCAAGCGAGCGGCGTGTGGACCAACATGTCCGACGGTATGTGTTTTTCAGTCTGGGTGTTTTTCGGCGATTTCGCTTTCGGGGGCCTGTTGTCTGGCCCTGGGGCCGTAACACATGGATCCGGGACGAAACACTACCCCCAGGGTCGGGACCCCTGGTGCCGCGCATTGAAAGAGAAAGAACGCATGGTCGGATGTGTGGGGATCTCGTGGGCGGAGCCATCGATGGCCAGACCTTCCGCCGTCGTGACAGACTCAGGACGGAAGGTTCTTGTAGTTTTCGGCCTCTGGGGGCAATCGGAGGGCCCTGGGAAAAGTACCCACGATGAAGAATCTGTCCTGGGGAATTGGTCGTCACCTCCACCACGGGTCCACTCTGTGAAAAAAGTCATGAGAGGGGCGCGTGGATATCATTGGCGAGGCCATGATATCTCCCAGATCGCAGGGCCCACTTCTCTTCTCTGATGACGTGTCCTTCGCGCACGTGCCTTGGGCCATGGACGGGCTAGCCCTCCTCCTTCTGGCCCCCTCGTCGGGGGGGGGGTGCAAAGAGGCATCCATACCTACACCGCTGCTCCCTGGGCCTCACCTCGGGTGAGTTCCGACCAGGACTTCGAGGGGAATCTGGCTGTGGCGACGGGAGTTCTCCAGGACGAGCAGCGGTGTAGATGTCCTGAGATCCGACGTCTCGAAAGAATGCGACATCTAGGAAAAACGGGACCAGGTCCCCAGACCCAAGTTACCTGCGGCAATCATCGAGCTGGATCGATCTGTGAGGGTCCTGGGCCCGAAACCGGGCGAAGACGTCAGGTATGAACAAAGTGCAACGCCCGGATCTCAGGGTAATTGCCCAGTCTTCCTCCTCCTCCTCCTCCTCGTCCTCCTCCTCCTCCTCCTCCTCCTCCTCCTCCTCCTCCTCCTCCTCCTCCTCCTCTCTCCTCTCTCCTCCTCCTCCTCCCTGCGCCTTCTCCCCCTCCTCTGCTTCGGCTCGCCCAAGCAGGAAGGGGTGCCGCAGCCCGAGTTTCCCCGGGCCTCTCGCGCGCCCACAGCGCCGCACACGCCGCAGAAGCCCGTGCTGGAGGCCGCGGTCCAGTCCGGGTCGCCCGGGGCGGCCCATCAGGGGAGCGCCCAGAAGGAGATCGGGGGACCCAGATCTCCCATCTCCATGCTGGCGAATTCTGGGAGCCTTGTATACCGTCTTGATCCCACCTGCAGCGTCGAGTCGATTACCGTCGGATAGCGTCTCGTAATCAATGAGATAGCGCCGATTTAGCGTCGACTGGCGTCGGCTAGCGTCGGTTACCGCTGATTCAGCGTCGATCACCGCTGGTTACCGTCGGCCAACAAGATGGTATGGGGAGGCCCCCATGAGTTGCCACCGAACATCTCCTTCACTCTCCTGCTCCTGCTCCTGCTCCGCCTCCGCCGCCTCTTCCTCCTCCTTGTTCGCCTTCTGTCGAAGTAAACACAATTTCTCGGAGGTCCTCGCGGATTGTTTTGATCGGTTTTGGGGCCCCTTTGGCGGGACCTCCGCCGCCCCCCCCCCAGGCACCGCATCGCAGATCCAAGATACCCGCGCGGACCTCCGAAAGTTTCTTTGTATGCACTTTTTTATGCAGAGGGTGATGGCCGTCGAAAGCCGGGTCTTTCGGATGAGGAAAATCGACCGGTGTTCCACATTAGGCACCTCGACATCCTGAAGAAGTGACGGGCTTGGACCCAATTGTGGAGATCTGCGTCGCTGAGCCTGTTGCGTGCGGGCTTGGAGGTCGCGTGAAGCGGGTCGCCGAGGGATTGGTAGCGCCTTCGTCCTCTTTCAGCCTTCTGGCTGGTGCTGGTGTCCTAGGGCGCCCCCTTTCATCGCAGGTGCTGCCGCTCACCTTTGTCGAGAATGCCTTTGCCAAGCAAATGTGCTCCTGGGCGAGTTGGCGCCCGCAGCTGTGCAAGACTGCGTCCATCTCGGAGTTTCCGATGCCGTCGTGGAACAGGAGGACGTGGTTCTCATCGGTCCGCAGGATTTCCTCTGCGAGGAGTCTGCTGGGCAGGTGCGAGTGGCTTGCGTACCCGCCCGCGGGACCCGTGCCAACGTCGACGTGTCGGTGAGGGTTGGGTCTTCCTGCGCGGACGTCATGCATTCTGTGGTTGTCGAATCTGTGGTGCCCCCCGACGCCCACCATGTCGACACGAAGTGCGTGACGGGGTCGAGTGTTGTCTTGGAGGAGCCCCTGGACAGGGAAGATGCCGCGATCCGCAAGGCTGGTCTAGTTCGACGGCAACCCGCTGTGCCGGCGTGGTTGTCACCGATATCAGTGGGGTGGATCTTGGTTGCGATCTGTGCGAAGTCACCCTTGGCGACCCTCGGCGACGTGGGCCAGCGTGGTGCGCATGCAAGGCCTGTGGGTTTCCCAGTCTCCCTGGCGCGGACGTGAAGGAGTGCCTTCGCTGTCAGCGACATGGCGCAGCTCGTGCCTCGACCGTTTGTTCGACGAGGAATGGGACGGCCAGGAAGATTCGGGCAGCTGCTCATGATGACGTGCGTGCTCGTGTGCGTGGTGCCGCTCTTCTTCGGTTTCATGCTTGTGGGCGCCTTCACGGTAGGTGCACTCAGGCTTCAGGTGGCCTCACCCCACCTCCCGAGTGTATGACGGGGTAGATTTGCGTTGAAAAATCAGATTTCCTCTTTCTTGGTGGAAGTCCGCAAGCCTCGGGCCGCTCTCAAGTCGGTGACCGGGGCTGCACCACCAGTACTAAAGTGCATGTGCCGCCACACATCCCCGAGATTATATTTTTGCCAGTGGGGGCCAGATTCGGTCCTGCACAGCTTCAAATGGTCTCAGATTCGTCACCCTGTCGCCTTCAGCTGGAAGCGTATCGATTTATCGTCTGACCCTCTGCTTTGGAGCGGCTAATGCCGAGCTGATGACTGCACCCAGAAAGGCTGCGACATTTCTCGGGCACCGGCTGTAGAAGCCACGGTCCTAGATTTCCGAACTATCACAAAGCCACAGATCATGCTGTGGTCATCAGCAGCCCGCCCTCGGGTGACGTCGACTCGTTCTCCTCCTCGTTCTTTGTAATATGTGCCCTTCTCTCGTTTCCCCTTCTCCTCATCTCCTCCCTCATCCCTCCTTTGGGCCCGCGTGAGGGAACCATACTTCGGATCATCGTGACCAAATAGCGCGGCTTGAGTTTGGACAATTTTTCGGCTTATGGGGGGCCGCGCCGAGCCTCGGGGACCGTCACCAACCGTCCACGCAGGATGACGAAAAGGCCTCCAGGGTTCTGCAAACTTAGAGTTATGTGGGCCGTCGATGTTACGCCTACGCAAATCGTGGCCAGGCCAGTCCTGGGTTCGGGATCGGTGCATCAGAGGTTGGGGGGTTGAAACCGAAGCGCCTTCGGTCCATCCTCAACCACTCTCGGTGGCCCGCCTGGCCCGACAAGACATTCGCCTGGCGAAGGACCCAACCATCTGCAGCTGTGAGCTCCGCGGTCGTGAGTATCAGCTTTGGTGGGGTTCCCTATGGGGCCACGGGACGTGTGCGGGGTGTGCCGAAATGGGTGTGGCGGACGCACGTGGACGGTGACGCTGGGGCCTTCGGTGGAGCTCGCTGTGGGGTCACGAAACGTGTAAGGAGTGTGCCGAAGTGGTTGTGGCGGGCGCATGTGGAGTCTGTGGACGGTGCCACTGGGGCTTTCGGTGGAGTGCCCCATGGGGCCACGAAACGTGCGAGGGGTGTGCCGAAATGGGTGTGGCGGGCGCATGTGGACGGTGCCACTGGGACCTTCAGTGGAGCTCCTTGCGGGGCCTCGAGGTGTGTGAGGAGTGTGCCAGCATTGGTGTGGCGGACGCATGTGGACGGTGCCACTGGGGCCTTCGGTGGAGCTTCCTATGAGCCACGAAACGTGTGAGGGGCGTTCCGAACTGTGTGTTGCGGGCGCACGTGGACGGTGCCATTGGGGCCATTGGTGGAGCTCCGTACGGGACCACGAAACGTGTGAGGGGTGTACCGAAATGGGTGCGGCGGACGAGTGCGGACGGTGCCATTGGGGCCTTCGGTGGAACTCCCTCTTGGGCCACGAAACGTGTGAGGGGTGTGTCGAAGTAGGGGCGGCGGACGCATGTGGACGGTGCCATTGGGGCCTTTGGTGGAGCTCCGTATGGGGCCACGAATCGCCTCAGGGATGTGCCGACATGGGTGTTGCGGACGAGTGTGGACGGTGCCGTTCGGTGGAGCTCCGTATGGGTCCACGCAACGTGTGAGGGGGTGTGCCGGCATGGGTGTGGCGGGCGCATGTGGACGGAACCACTGGGGCTTTCGATGGAGATCCATATGGGGCCACGAAACGTGCGAGGGGTGTGCCGAAATAGGTGTGGTGGGCACATGTGGATGGGGACGGTGCCACTGGGTCCTTCGGTGGAACTCCCCATGGGGCCACGAAACGTGCGAATGGTGTGCCGAAATGGGTGTGGCGGGCGCATGTGGACGGTGCCACTGGGACCTTCAGTGGAGCTCCGTGCGGGGCCTCGAGGTGTGTGAGGAGTGTGCCAGCATTGGTGTGGCGGACGCATGTGGACGGTGCCACTGGGGCCTTCGGTGGAGCTTCCTATGAGCCACGAAACGTGTGAGGGGCGTTCCGAAATGTGTGTTGCGGGCGCACGTGGACGGTGCCATTGGGGCCATTGGTGGAGCTCCGTACGGGACCACGAAACGTGTGAGGGGTGTGCCGAAATGGGTGCGGCGGACGAGTGCGGACGGTGCCATTGGGGCTTTCGGTGGAACTCCCTCTTGGGCCACGAAACGTGTGAGGGGTGTGTCGAAGTAGGGGCGGCGGACGCATGTGGACGGTGCCATTGGGGCCTTTGGTGGAGCTCCGTATGGGGCCACGAATCGCCTCAGGGATGTGCCGACATGGGTGTGGCGGACGAGTGTGGACGGTGCCGTTCGGTGGAGCTCCGTATGGGTCCACGCAACGTGTGAGGGGCATGGGTTTGGCGGGCGCATGTGGACGGTGCCACTGGGGCCTTCGATGGAGATCCATATGGGGCCACGAAACGTGCGAGGGGTGTGCCGAAATAGGTGTGGCGGGCGCATGTGGACGGGGACGGTGCCACTGGGTCCTTCGGTGGAACTCCCCATGGGGCCACGAAACGTGTGAGGGGTGTGCCGAAATGGGTGTGGCGGACGCATGTGGACGGTGCCACTAGGGCTTTGGGTGGAGCTTCGTATGGGGCCACGAAACGTGTGAGAGGGTGTGCCGAAATGGGTGTGGCAGACGCATGTGGACGGTGCCTCTGGGGCCTTCTGTGGAGCTCCGTGTGGGGCCACGAAACGTGTCAGGGGTGTGCCGTAGTGAAGGGGGGTGACGGGGGAGCGAAGCGCGGGAGGAGTAGGAGGAGGAACGCGGGGCGCGGTCTCTTCAACACGAAGACCCAACACCACAGGATGGTCGGGAACAACTTCAGCACGGGCGCCCATCCGTATCGCGCATCTGTGTTGTCGGTTTTGATTGTAATGTCGTGCGTGCGAGATGTACCAGGACATTCGTTTCGGTTTCTTGTTTGTGTCGTGCGTTCCGGCGAGGCGAAGTTGGGTGCATGGGCGTGAGGCATGGTCCCGCCATTGCCAGGGCGAAGCCAAAGCAACCGTCCCTGCCCTACTCAGTTGGCGGACTCGGGCCCGCGGTTGTCCTGCGATTGTTTTGTTGTTGTCCCGTTGTTGTCCTCATGGTTGTTCCGATGGTTGTCCCGACGTTTGTCCCGGTGTCCCGATGTTAGACCCGATGGTTGTCCCGCTGGTTGTCCAGATGGTTGTCCCGAGTGTAGATCTGTTGATCGTGGAACCAATTAATGTACTGGAACCGGCAGAGGGATATATCAATGCATAATTTAATAGTGGCACACTATATGCATACTGGTCGCGGTATTTGTATATGGCTATAGATACATAACAACGAGCCCAATCGTCAACGCTCGGTTTGACTACTACGATATCGTTTTCTGTGATATCGGTCGGTCAATGTATAGGTATACTTGTTTTTTCCTGTGTTCGTCAACATGTGTCAATGCCGCTCGAGGTTGTGCCGTGCTTTTGTCCCGATGGTAGCCCCGATGGTTGTTTCGATCATTGATCCGAGGGTTGTAACGTTGGATGCCTAGACGGTTGTCCAGATGGTTGTCCCGCTTGCATATTGGTTGATTGTGAGATCCATGGTTGTATTTGAGGCCGGTCGACGGATATATCGATACACAACGAGATTGGTGGATCTATACCGTGTTACGAATAGTCAAATTTCGATGTCAGCAACACGAGAGTGGCGGTGTTGGTCACGACGCATAAGTATGCATAGTTCTTGGGAACTCCTCCGTGCAACTATCCTTACATGGTTGTCCCGCTGGTTGTCCCGCTGGCTGTTCCACTGGTTATCCCGATGGTTGTCCCGATGGTTGTCCCGACGGTAGCCCAAATGGTTGTTCCGTTGGTTGTCCCGAAGGTTGTCCACATGGTTGTCCCGATTGGTGTCCCGTCCCGTCGGTAGACTGATCGATGCATCGATAGATCGTGAGGCCGATAAAGGGCTATACTAGCAGTTATATTGATACTGGTATCGAGATGTCTGTGGACGGCCACAATCAGATCGGTTTACGTCTAGTGGGACCGATATGTTGGTATTGGTGTCGATCGATAGTTAACGTCATCGAAATATTGGTAGTAATGCCGGCACATGCGTTCTTGTAGTTATGTGGCTACAGACCGTGAGATCGATATATCGGTAGACCGATAGAGGTGATTCGACGGATGAAGGGGGTGGGCCCGATCAGTGTTCTGCCGTTGTTTCTGGTCGAGCCCCAACCTCCTTCTCGGCCCTTGGCTGGCTTTTGTGGGCAGTGTATTCGCGCGTCGGCTACGCGTGAAAGCGGCCCTTCTCCGGAGTGACTTGCGGCGCAGGCCCACAGGATTCCTCCCAGCATCTCCGCCCCCACCACACCACACCCCGTCGTCGCGGCCCTCTGAAGCCGCGCACAAAAGGTATGTTTCGCCTTGGGCCACCCTTGTGTGTAGCCGAGCCTTACTGGCCGAAGCTAGAGGGCGTTTTCACTAACCCTTGGCCCAGAGCGTGTCTGGCCAAGATTTGTATAGTTTTGTAGTCCCAGACCCCCGAATGTATGGTTTTTCAATGACGTGGACCCCCAGAGGGCTCGAATCTGTCTCCAGGAGCCGTTTTTCATCCTGGTTATTTTTTTACGGTCGTGCGTCCAGTGAAGGCCACGCGAGGCCGAACGTAACCAAACACAATCCGTCATGAGTTTTTCACGACTCGAGGGGGTTTGGGGTTGGTGTCATTCCAGGAGAAGATGGAACAGCAGATCGTCATGTGGCACGACCAGTTCGAGATCCAGAATTTACTCGAGATGACGTCCGAGTTCGACGCGGTGAACAGCACCGTGCCCATCGCGCCCGTCGACCTGGCCGAGGACGGGCCCGAGGTCGCACACGTGTCCGAGGAGTTGGCCGGCCGCCACCGAGGCACCGCCCCGCAGTCCGAGGCCTCGACCTCGTGATCCATGTTGTGAGTTTGGGAGATCTTCGGAGGAGGAAGAGAAGGTTCAGAGCCCCGAGTCATCAGGGGTAACTCGGGTCAGGGATAACTCGGGTTCCTTTTTTCGGGAATCCAAACCCGAGTTACCCCGGACCCGAGTTACCCCGGATAACTCGGGCGCCCAAAAGGTGCCGATACCGCTGCCCGTTCGTCGTCGCCTCAGCTGGATGCACGCGATCCCAGGTCAGTCGAAAGCCACCCGCCTGAGCGTGTCGTCTGCTCGCTCCTCCGGGGGCGGCCAAGAGGGGGGTGATGACTGCAGTCAAGTGCGTATCTTTGCTGCTGTTATTTCTGACGGGCTGCAGAAGGGTTCGTAGCTGGGGCGCTGGTTGCTCTCAGACGACAGCCTACCCTGCTTCTGGCATTATCTGATGGAAACCGTTGCCTCGAGAAAACTGTGTGCTGGAATCCACGCCGTGGGCTGCTGGAGCCATTGCCCCTTGTAAAATGTGGGTGCTGGAATAAAGCCTTCTAGTCGGCATAAGCTGCTGGATCCGGTGTCACTCGTGAATCACGCTACCGAGGAACCCCACGTGTGTGCACCAAACTACCACTACCACCGCCACCACCACCAGCCAGACGAGCCAGCCAGCCCATCTAATCAGACTAACGAGACGGACCAGACTAAACCACTGACGCCGAACGACCGTTCCAAGACGTCGTTGTCGTCGTTCTCGTCGTCGTATTCGTTGTACCAGTCGTCGTACTCATCCTCGTACCTCGTCGTTGCATTTGTCATCATACTCGTCGTCGCCGTAGTCGTCGACTCGAGCGCTGAGAGTACGAATTCGTTTTCGTCGTCGTCATCGTTGTCGTATTCGGCGCGCTCGTCCCTCTCGTCGTCGTACTCGTCGTTCTCGTCGTCTTCGTACTCGTCGTCGTCGTATCTCGTCGTCGTATTGGTGGTCGTATTCGTCGTCGTCCTCGCCGTTGCACTCGTCGTCACCGTTACAAACCGCCCCGTTTTTATGCCCTGGACGAGCGGCGCGCATAGCGGCCGAGCTCAGGAACCACCCCCTGCTCACCCTCCCGGGTGTCGAGTGCCGCGCCTGCAGTGCCCTGGACGAGCGGCGCGCATAGCGGCCGAGCTCGGGAACCACCCCCTGCGCGTCCTCTCTGGTGTCGAACGTGCCACGCTTGCTATGCCCTGGGCGAGAGGCGCGCATAGCGGCCGAGCTCGGGAACCACCCACTGCGCCTCGCCTTGTGTTGTCGACAATATGCCACGCTTGCTAGCGTAAGGCACGGTGTGCGCACCCAAGGTCCTATTTGCAACACATGCCACGCTTTCCGACCCAGATTGTAGAGTGGTGCCAGGTTGGATGCAGACGTGTATCGCATGTGGGTGCCCAGTATGTTGTGCATCCGTCTTGGGTGTATGATGCAGTGAACACGCCAGGCGTGCACTAGCGTTTTATGGTGTATGTTGTGTGCGCGAGTGTCATGCGTGCGGCGGTATGTGGATGCGTGTCTCATGTACGTGTCGTGCATGCGACACGCGTGGAGCCTGTCCTCCAGAGCGGATTCGAAGGTGGACCACATCTTCGACGCCTTGTCCAGAGCACGAGGGGAGAAAGGAAGAGGACGAGAGGGAGGAGGGGGACGCGGCAGGGAAGAAAACCAGAACCCCACGAAACATGTGGGGAACAATGAGCGCTGGAACCTCACCCCGTAAAGTGTTCTGAAATCATGAGTAGGGCGGGGGGAGGGGGTGTCACGGGGCCCAGGGGTGGGAGTCTTAGCATTGTAGTTACGCCTCGCTCTCAAAGGGGGCAGCGAGTTCGCGTGCGCCCGCCTGCGCGTGTTTGTGAGCGTGCGCGCGTGCGTGCTCGTGTTCGCGCACGTGTGTGCGCGTGTGCTCGGGCGCAAGCGCGAGCCCGAGCTCCAGCGCGAGCCTGACCCCGAGCCCAAGCCCGAGCGTGATCTTGAGACCGAGCCCGAGCTCGAACCCGAGCCCTATCCTGAGCGCTTGCACGCGCGCGTGCGCATGAACGCGCGCGTGAGCGTGTGCTTGCGCGTGTGCATGCGCGTGCGCTTCTGATGTGAAATTTCGCTGTGAACAGTGTTCACATTTTAGGGGGCTGGGTAGCCAGATGCCCCAGATGATAATACATACCCAACGTTAAGTCCCTGGTGCTGGTCATCGCCAAAACAGTCTTGGTCGGCGGTTGAGGGCGGCGAGGCTGTACCAATCGTAGCTCTAACACTCCCATCATGACTAGCAACATTAACATATTATCGTTAGAACGGTGATTCGTGCCACGCATACTTCTGTTATTCTTATCCGTAAGGGCTTTGCCCCCTACCGCCGACCCCCTCTCTATCAAATAGGGATATATCAGAGTCGCGTCGGAGCGTCTCAACGGTGCCTTGGCGCATCTGGGAACATCATGCGCGGGCGGATCGGAGTCATCGGCGCATATTAAGACGTTGGTGCTATCGAAGACGCCTACGGCGAATCACCGCCGCCCCCTGCCTTTTTGGAAGCGCCTATGTGGCCGAACGTTGAGGCCAGGCCTGCCAAGCTATCGGACCATGTGTTCCCCGAATCGGTTTGGAAAGCCTTCGGGGAACACGTGGGCATCTTGAAGGTAATCTTGGGAGGGCTCTTGGGCCGTCTTGGAGGCCATCCTGAGCGTCTTGGAGGCCTCTTGGGCCGTCTTGGGGGCCTCTTGGGGCCGTCTTGGGTCTCTTGGGCGATTTTTGAGGGTACTTGGGCCGTCTTGGGCCGGCGGAAGGCAGAAAAACAGCAAACGCCACAATCCTTCAAAACCTCATGGGGAGTCAATGAGTTTGGCCTTTTTGGGACTTCCTGGAGGACCTCGTGGAGGCCTCTTTGGCCGTCTTGGGCCATCTTAGGGCCATCTTCGGCCGTCTTGGTGGGCTCCTGGCCCGTCTGACGCCGTCGGAAGCCTTTTGGGGGGCATCTCTGGGCCGACTTGGGGCCCTCGTGGAATGCTCCAGGGCCGTCTTGGAGGCCATCTTGGGCGTCTTAAGGCCTCCTGGGCCGTCTTGGGAGCCTCCTGGGGCCGTCTCGGGGGCCTCTTGGGCCGTTCTGGGGCCATTTTGGAAGCCTCTCGGCCGATCTTTGGGGGCTCTTGGGCCGTCTCGGGCCGCGGGAAGGCCGAAAAGAAGCAAATGCCACAATCCTTCAAAAACCTTTAGGAACATATGTTTGTTGGCCTTTCTGGCCTTACTGGAGGCCCTCTTGGAGGCCTCTTGGGCCGTCTTGGACCAGCTTCGAGCCAACTTCGGCCAACTTGGTGGGTTAATGGCACGTCTGACGCCGTCGGGAGCCGTCTTTGGGGCCTCTCTGAACTAGCTTGGGGCCCTCTTGGGTCGCTTCGGGATTGTATTGGAGGTCATCTTGGTCGTCTTGGAGGCCTCTTGTCCCGTCTTGGGGCCCTCTTGGGGCCGTCTTGGGGGCCTCTTGGGCCATAATGGGGCCATCTTGGAGGCCGCTTGGGCATTCTTGAGTCGATCTTGGAGGCCTCCTGGGCCGTCTCGAGCCGTCGGAAAGCCGAAAAGGGGCAACTACCAACATCTGTCAAACACCTAAGGCAAATCTATGAGTTTGCCCTTTTCGAGCCTTCCTGGAGCACCTTTTGGCGGCCTCTTGGGCCGTATTGAGGCCTCTTGGGCCGTCTTGGGCAATTTGGAGGCTATCTTACGCCAGCTTGGGTACATATTGGGCCGTCTTCGAGGCATCTTGGGGCCATCTTAGCCGTCTTGGAGGCCACCTTGGTCGTCTTGGAAGCATCTTGGAGGCCATCTTGGGTCATCTTGGAGCCATCTGGAGCAGGAACACCTTCGGCAATCACCTCTGGAAGATCCTGGGCAACCCTTTCGGGTGGCCGGCGGGACGCGCCGAAGCCCCAGGGGGGGTTCTTCGGGAAAAAGAACCAAAACCAAAACCGAAAGGATCTAGCACGCCAGGCACCCTTGTGATGAATCAACAGGGGGCGGCGGATCCTAGCGGCCTTAGGCCCAACCCGTCACCGTGCCTGGGTTGTGGGTCTGAGGCCTCTTGTGTATGTGTTGGGGTGTCGGGGGGAGCCTCTCGGGGGCCTCTTGGAGGCGGTTTGGGCGCCTCTTGGGAGCCTCTTTGGGCCTCATGGGGCATCTTGGAGGCCTCGTTGGCGCGTCTTGGGCGCCTCTTGGGGCCTCTTGGGGACTCCTGGGGGCTTCTCTGGGCTCCTCGGAGAGCTTCTTGGGCCCATCTTGGATTCCTCTCGGGCCGTCTTGGGGCCCTCTCGGAGGCGTCTTGGGCTGTCTTGGGGCGGTCTTGGGAGCTTCTTGAGCCATCTTGGAGCGTCGGAAAGCTGAAACTGCGAGAAACCCAAACTCCTTCAGACGTTTTTTTGTTGTTGGTAAGGTCGTCAATGCTGGCCTCGGGGCTCTCTCGGGGGGGCCACTTGGAGCGCTCTTGGGGCTTCTTGGGGCCCTCTTAGGCCGTCTTGGAACCATCTTTTCGGACGCCTTGGCGCATTCTTGGCATCGGGTTTAGGGCTGGGTGGACCCGAATATGTAATAAGTTACAGGGGGGTGTTGCCTCGGGGACACAATAACTTTCACATTTGCTAAGGCGGGTGGCTTCGTGAATGCGATTATTGTGTTATTTACGGCGGATGCTGGCTTCAAGGAAGCGACTATTCAACAATTTGCACGGGGTTTTGGCCTCGGGGATGCGAATATCGTATAATCTACGCAGGATTCTGGTTTACGAGTAATTTACGAGAGTATGTGTTGTTTCGGGGACGCGCAACTTGAATAATGTACGAAGATGCGTTGCTTCGGGGGCGCGCAAATTTCATGCTTTGTTAAGGTTCGTGGCCTCGGGGACGCGATAATTCTTTAATTTGCCAGGGTTCTTTGCCTCTGGGACGCACGAATCGAATCATTTGCGAGGGTTACTTGCCACGGGAACGCGATCATTGAGCAATTCACGAGGGATCGTGGCTTCGGGGGCACAGCTGTGGCGCATTTACACGGGATCGTGGCACCAGGGGCGCGCACGTAACGTAATTTACGGGAGATCGCGGCCCCGGGCGTGCGAATTTGACCGAGGATCGTGGTTTCGGAGACGCGAGTGTGGCGCAATTTATGGGTGATCGTGGCCTCGGGGACGCGAATGCAGCGTAATGTGCGAGGGATTATTGAGCGAATCTCATTTATTTTCACGTGTCCCACAGCCCCGCAGGGATTCAACACGCGATTCGGGGAGGGTAGCCAGACGCTTTTCAGCTCCCCCCCTCGCGCGGACTTGGCGCAGGGAGCAGCAACCCTGATCCTTGCAGCCTGATGGCCCCACAAGGGGGCCGGCGGATGACGGGAAGCGTCTTCGAAAGGCTCTGGTTCGAGCGATTTCAGGCGACAGTGAGGTGCCTGCGGGGTCGCAACCCCCCGCCCAGCATGCTCTAATTTGCGATGGCAAGGCAATGGTTGTCATTCTTGCTTCTCTCGCTTGCTATTGCCGAGCTGACATACAAGCGCGCTGGAGAGCCGAGCGCTGGGCGGCGGCACGACCGCCCTGGAGTCTCGAGATGTTGGAAGTATCGTTCGACAGAGACGAGCAAGTGCATAGCACATTGACCTTTCACCGTGCCTATCGTTCCGAACTCGCCAGAGGGCGAGTGAGGAAGTGGTCGGATCTCATTGATGGTCAGGACGTTGTGGCAATTGGCAGCTATGGGACTTCTCATCTCGGCGACACAGCTTTTGCAACAACCGGTGCTTCTTGGATTGACCATATACCTGGGACGCCGAGTGGGTGGCATCAGCTGTTTTTGGCTTTCTTGGCTCCTACACCTCTGTTCGTATTCATCGGCCTGATCGTTTTTTCCTTGGGCCCGAAGGCGGTGTGGGCGATCATAGCATCCAAGTGGATTGGCTTTTCGGTTGCGCACATTTCTTGGTTCTCGGTTGTCCACGCCGCCCACTTAAGTGACCTATGGACCATGCAGTACGGGAAGCGGGTGCAGCATTCCCCGGTATGCGTGTACCAATGAGGTTGCAGCAGTTTTTTTTTTTTGTTTGTTTTGTCTTTTTTTTTTTTTTAAAAAAAAAAAAAAAAAAAAAAAAAAAAAAAAAAAAAAAAAAAAAAAAAAAAAAAAAAAAAAAATCAGACGCTGGCGTACCTCTTCGCCCCTCCTTCACTTTGTGACCTTTGTGACCTGTTGCGCGGCGACTTTGAGTTTGGCCCGGCCCGCAACCCGCAGACAGGTGGCCGGTCCGTCTGTCTGCCGTCGTCGTTTTGCTTCCCTGGAGTGTTGCCGGCTTTGCTTAATCTTGCCCGTGGCGGCCTGCGCTGGTAAGGGCGGCTCCAGGCGTGTGGCACTTATCTATCCTTTGCCACGCCGTTTGCGTCTCGCCGTGTGAATTCCGTTGCTTGCCACCAGGCCCCTGGCCAGAGGGCCAGGTACTGATGTGCGAGCCCACCAGTGAGTGGTAAGCCTCGCATGTGACGTCTGTAGACGCGCATGTGCGCGGGTCGACCACACGGTTGGCCCAGCGAGTGCTCGCAAGACCTCTTGGATTAGGGTTGCGTGGTCAAAAAAACGTTTTCGAGGAACGAGAAGCGAGCTGGACGTTTTGGCTGAATCCGTCATATCAGTAAGAGATCTCTTAAATATAGGGGGTGGCGGGGCGCACGGTGTACAGGCTTAGCGGATTTGTCGGGGGGGCGATTTTACGTGAGACATCTTCACAACAATTAGATTTTCGCGACACCGCGTTTAACAGAAACAAGCGTTTCGCTCGAGGCATCCTCGAAAAGTTGATGACAGCCAAATTTCGCCGTCTGTGAAAATTTGCGTTTCGCTCGGGACATCCTCGAACAAATGAGATGACGACTGAAGTTTTTAATTAACTTTTCTGTTAAGAATTGCGATTTCGCTAGGGACATCCTCAGAAAGCGAGCGGCAGCACGGCGGACCAGAACGAAGAGCACGGCAGAAAATTTGCATTTCGCTAGGGACATCCTCAACAAAATGAAATTTCCTCAGCGTCGTCTTGATATCTTTCTCGAAGTACCTCTAGATGACGCAACGAGAGGCCAAACAGCACGTCAATATGGCTGTCAGAACGATGGGGGGACTTCCGAAAATAGCGATTTCGCTAGGGACATCTTCAAAAAGTGAAAACATACACCAGCATCGACTTGAAAACAGTTGTTCTTACATAGTTTTGACTTTGCTTCTGAAAAGGCTTCCAGACGGCCCAAGGCAGCCTTCAAAACATGTCGATCTCGCTAGGGACATCCTCAAAACATTGACGCGTGTGACATCGCATCGTAATAATTTCTGGATGGCATCAGGAAGCAAAATAAGGCCACAACATGGCCCCAAGAGCGCCCTTCAGGTTGCTGAAAATAGTGATTCCGCTAGGGATATCTTCAAAAATTAATAAATTCAACAACATCGTTTTGAAAATTGCTGTTTCAACATCGTCTGGGGATCGCTCCTGAAAAGGCTTCTAGATGGTTTAAGCCAGTCATCTAAAAATGACGATTTCGCTAGGGACATCCTGAAAAAATGAATGTGTGTCATATCGGACTGTAACGGTTTTGTAAGGCATCAAGAAGGCCCCCAAAGGCCCCAAACAAGCCCAAACTTGACCCCCAGGAGCGCCCTCGAGCCGATCCAAAATTGCGATTTCGCTTGAGACATCCTTGCAAAAATGGCATGTTCACAACATCGGTTTCATCAAAAATGAGCGTTTCGCCTGATGCATCCCTTAAACATGGGAACCAGCGAATTCGACAAATGTTCAAAAACTAGCGTCTCGCCTGAGACATCCTAACAACAATGATATCTTGGAGTGGCGGTTTCAATACCTCTCATGTTTAAAACCGCGCTCTCGCTGCATACATCCTCAAAAAAATCGGGCGGAGCATGGCCGGCGACAAAAATGCTCCTTCGCTTTTGACGTCTATTCAGCCGTGCTCTTTCGTTCTTGGGGTCTATTATGAACTGTTCCTTGTTTTTTTGTGCCGTGTTCCTTCGCTCTTCTAGCCTATTCTGCCATGCTCCTTGCCAGTTTCTGTCACAATCTTTTGTTCTTGGGGCTTATGATGCCGTGCTCCTGGTCGTTTTCTACCGTGCTCCTTAGCTCTTGGGCCATATTCTGCCGTGATCCTTCGCTTTCGGGGTTTATTATGCCGTGCTCCTTGTGTTTTTCTTGCATACTCCTTCTTCCTTGGGGCGTATTATGTTGTATTATTGCATCTATCTTGCCGTGCTCCTTAGCTCTCGCGGTCTATTCTGCCGTGTTCCTGGTCACTAGTCGTGTTTTGCAATGCTCCTTCTTTCCTGGCGCCTATTCTGCCGTGCTCCTCAGCTCTTGGGGTCCATTCTGCCGTGCTCCTGTTGTTTTTCTGTCGTGCTCCTTCGCTCTTGGGGCCTCTTCTGCCGTGCTCCTCAGCTCTTGGGGTCTATTCTGCCGTGTTCTTTGTTGTTTTTTTCTGCCGCGCTCCTTCGCTCATGGGGCCTATTCTGCCGTGCTCCTGGTCTTTTTTCTGCCGTGCTCCTTAGCTCTGGGGTCTATTCTGCCGTGGTCCTGGTCTTTTTCTGCCGTGCCCCTGAGCTCTGGGGGACTATTCTGCCGTACTCCTGGTCATGCTCTGCCGTGCTTCTTCGCACTTGGGGCATCTTCTGCCGTGCTCCTTGTCTCTTGGGTTCTATTCTGCCTTGCTCCTCGTGTTTTTCTGGTTTGCTCCTTCGCTCTTCGGGCCTAACCTCATGCCCGTGAGAATAAACACTAGGGGATAATAAAGTTCGGGGTTCAGGGAGAGATAATAAAAGTAGCCCAGCAGACCTCAGCATAATCTCGAAGTAAGAGATGATCAAGAGGAGACCAAGCCGAGCACGTTTTGAGACATCCTTGGCGTTTAGTTTTCATAGAAATATTCTCAACAATGGCTTATCTCGCTGGAATGGAGGAAGCTATATATAAAAAAGAAAAATAAAACGAATAAATAATAACATTAAAGAAATGATAGGAGGAGGAGAAGGACGAAGAGAAGAAAACATCTCGAGTTTCAAATATATTAGATGTTGTTTACAAGCGCTTTATGAAAATTGTTTTTTGTAAGTGTTCGTGTAGGGTAGCTCATGTGCCTCAATTGCCATGGATAATCAACCCCAGAGATAAACAAGTTCAGGCGAGCGTGGGGACAGAGAGAAATATAAAAGAAGAAGAATACAGTAGAAGAATAATAAGAAAGAAGAATAAGAGGATATAAGAAGAGGACGACGAAAGGAAAAATCCAAAGTTCCAAATCTTTCAATTTTAATTTACAAACGCTTTATGAAAATTGATGTTTTAAAGTGCTCGTGTAGGGTAGGTAGCTCATGTGCTTCATTTTCCCATGGATAATCAACCCCAGGGGTAAAAAAGTTCAGGCGAGCGTGAGGACATATAGAAATATAAAAGAAGAAGAGGAACGTATAATAATAATAAGAAGAGAAGAAGACGAGAATAATAATATACTAATAACGGGAACATGGAAAGTTACAAATCTACCAATTTTAATGTACAAACGCTTTATGAAAATTGATTGTTTTAAGTGCTCATGTAGGGTAGCTCATGTGCTCCCCTTTCCCTGGGTAATCAACCCCAGAGATAAAAAAAGTTCAGGCGCGCGCGGGGATAGCAACATCGCTTGATGTTGCTATCTCGACATAGCGTTTCGAGGTGATAATGAAGTTCGGCCTCAGCGCTCGCCGCCCAATTTGAATTTTGTATAGGGCGACGATAATCAACTCTAAACACTGAAGAGGGGGGGGTCCCTTTATTATCATCGGCATGCAGTTATTCTGCCGTGCTCCTGGTCTTTTCTGTCGTACTCCTTGGCTCCTCGGGCCTTTTCTGCTGTGGTTCGGTCTTTTCTGCCGTCGTCCTTAGCTCTTGGGGCATCTTCTGCCGTGCTCCTGGTCTTTTTCTGGCGTCTTTTTTCGCTCTTGGGGCCTATTATGCCGTGCTCCTTAGCTCTTGGGGTCTATTCTGCCGTGCTCCTGGTCCTTTTCTGCCGTGCTCGGCAGCTCTTGGAGTCTATTCTGCCATGCTCCTGGTTTGTTTCCGACGTGCTCCTTCGCGCATGGGGCCTATTCTGCTGTGCTCCTGGTCTTTGTCTGTCGTGCTCCTGCTTTTTTTCTGCCGTGCTCCTTCGCACTTGGGGCATATTCTGCCGTGTTCCTTGTCTCTTGGGTTCTATTATGTTGTGCTCCTCGTCTTTTTCTGGTTTGCTCCTTCGCTCTTAGGGTCTATTTTCCCGCACTCCTCCAGCTCTCGGGGTCTACTCTGGCGTGCTTATGTTTTTTTTCTGCCGTGCTCCTTCGCTCTTGGGGCCTATTCTGCCGTGCTCCTGGTCATTCTCTGCCGTGCTCCTTAGCTTTTGGGGTCTATCCTGCCGTGCTCCTCGCCTTTCTCTGCCGTACTCGTTCGCACTTGAGGCATATCCAGCCCTGCTCCTTAGCTCCTGGGGTCTATTCTGCCGTGCTCCTGGTCTTTTTCTGCCGTACTCCTTCGCTCTTGGGGCCTAATCTGCCGTGCTCCTGTTTTTTTCTGCCGTGTTCCTTCGCTCTTGGGGCCAATTCTGCCGTGCTCCAGGTCATTCTCTGCCGTGCTCCTTAGCTTTTGGGGTCTATCCTGCCGTGCTCCTCGTCTTTCTCTGCCGTACTCCTTCGCACTTGAGGCATATCCAGCCCTGCTCCTTAGCTCCTAGGGTCTATTCTGCCGTGCTCCTGGTCTTTTTCTGCCGTGTTCCTTCGCTCTTGGGGCCTAATCTGCCGTGCTCCTGGTCTTTTTCTGCCTGCTCCTTAGCTCTTGAGGTCTATTCTGCCGTGCTCCTGGTCATTTCCTGCCGTGCTCCTTAGCTAATGGGGTGTGTTCTGCCGTACTCATTTGCTCTTGGGGTCTATTCTGCCGTGTTCCTTGTCGTTCTCTGCCGTGCTCCTTCGCTCTTGGGGCATATTCTGCCGTGCTCCTCATCTTTGTCTGCCGTGTGCGCCCAGAAGCTCTGCCAAAACGACCACCGCGACGATCCGCACGGCAGATACAGGAACACGGCAGAACACACAGAGCACACAGAGGCACGGCAGAACACAGAAGCACGGCAGAACAGGAGCACGGCAGAACACACAGGAACACAGCAAAACACACCCCGCACGCACGCCGACACGCGCGCCACGGCATACCTGCGCGGCATAACAACAACAGAGAGCATTTTCCACATGCTTGGTGGACTAAAGCGACGCTTCCCGTTCTTGTCTGGTCAGGTTTTTATTGTTCGTGCCCTATGCGTATTGTTCCACTCGTTGTCCCCGGTGGTAACGCATGTTACCCCCCTCCCGTCACCGCAACGCCTGACAATTCGGCCGCAGGAGGAACTCTGCCGCGTCCGAAATACACGTCCCTGAGGGGCGGGGGGCCCGCAGTGGGGGGCCACCCGAGCTTTCCCCGGTCTGCGCGCCCACCACCTCTCAGGGACGTAGTTTTCAGGTTCTGAGTCAGAGTCTTCCGCCTGGGCCCCCAGAGGTCCCTCAGGCGTGCTGGTTTGTGGTCGTGTACACAAGCACTGGGATGTACACGGACACTGTGGTGCACGCGGCTTCTGCGGCGTACACAGGCGTTTGTTTTGCACAGGCAGTGTGGTGTAGCAGTGCGAGCAGCAGGCCTCGCCTGAGCGAGCAGGGCATCGTTCTTCCACATTGTTTCTCAGGTTTCGTATTCCCCCAACCCCTCCAGAGAGGCCCCGCCCAAGCTTGGGTTGCGAGGGTGCCCCCATGTGGGCCCGCTATCACATCCGTACATCCCTGCGCTCCAATCTTGTTCTGGCACTCTGTACATCTGTGCCTTTCAAAAATCCATACGCTGCGATCTAGCGAACCAAATCTGTACTATCTCCCCCGAACCCCAAACTTCCTTCTCCCCGGTGGATTATTCCCAGGTGTGTTCGGTTATCATGGCCTTGGCCAGGCCATGATATCTGCCTGGATTTCGCGTCCCCCCCCCTTTTCTTGCAATTCACGCACAACTTCAGTGCACCGTACCGTGGAGGATCCCCCTGGGGATTTTCCGAAGTCGACAGCGTTTTCGTGCTAGCGCGGTCAGGGCGGTGGACTACTTTGCATTAATGTTCACATCCTTCCTTGTTCGCCTCGAAGTTGTCACGCTTCCCTTGTTCGTGCGCAGTTCCACAGGTCTGAAGTGCCAGTTCTATGATTCCTCAAATACGGGGGGTGACGGGGACAGTGTTGCAGAAATGTTCTCTGGAGTAGCTAGACAGCGTGTCCCTCCCCCGTTGGTACGGTACAAACTTTCTGTGGCCGTGGGACCGAGCATACTAGCGTCTGGCTTGAATGCATGGCTTCGGTTTTGCGCCTTGAATTCATGGCGAGTGTCTTACTCGTGGTTGTTCCAGAGCTCTCGACCCCGCCGCAAGGCCTTGACCAGGCAGTCGCGAACGACTTCAGAGCGAGTCTAACGCGCGATCCAGCGTGGCACGCACGACCAGGGTTCCCTGTCCAACTTTGGATTCGCAATCCTTGTGAATCGAGCTGCGCACGCAACGGAAGGCCGACGCCTGAAGGTTCCCTTCAAGTTGCTCTGGCTCGGTACGGTGGCCATATATCGTCCGCGCATTCAACACGTCCCCTGGTCCACCCTGGGCTGCGCACATCGGGGCAGCAACGCAGAGACTCGCACCAGCGTACGGCAGGTTTGCGTCGTGTCGACCAGCGGCGACCCCAGCGCGGACGTTCAAGGTTGAACGCCGCCGGCGACCCAGAATCGATCGATGTTTTGGGCGTTGCGTAATGGGGGGGTCATAAATGGGGGGGTGGCGAGGGTGGTCCGAAAAGGTACCCAAACGGTACCTAAACGAGCCCCCTGGGGCTCTGGAGGGGCCCGAAAGGGGCACGAAAGGGGTCCTTTTCTGACCCCCCCATCTATGACCCCCCCATTAAGCAACGCCCAAGATGTTGAACGATCGGACGTTGCGGAGACGGCCGATCGTTCAAGGTTGAACGATCCCCGCGGTGGCAGAAACCAACGCCGGGGTCGACACGACGCGAACCTGCCGCAGCCACCTGCGGAATTTTTCCCGAGCAGGGGCGAGGCCCAAGTCTTCGACGGCTCCACTCAGGAGGGAAAGAAACACACAGACACAATTAATCGTCGACTCCCAGGAAAGTATGGGAAACTATGGGAAGTGGGGGGGAAGACAAAAACCCAGAAAATATGGGAAAATATGGGGAATATGTTTATTTGTGTGTACTTATTTGTGTGTCCTAATTTCCCTTTAGACTGCTCCACACCGGCTGGAACTGTGGGACCCGCACCCGTTCGGCGAAACTCCGTTCGAATGTTCTGCGCACGGGCGGGTCCCCAAGTGTAGAGCGCCGAGCACATGCCTTGGGCCATGACTTGCACCCCCCCCGTCTTGGACTCACCTTACTTGGACGCCCCCGACTTCTTCCCTCCCCGACTCCCGCTCCGCCAGGGCAGCAAAATGGCTGCCCCGGAGGGCCTCGCACTGCGGCGCGTAGTCCCCAAACGCGCGCTTCTGCAGCTGCACGGCCCCTCTGTAGAGCACATTTTTTGTGTGTAGCAGACAACCCCTGAGATCCGGGCGTCTCAATACTTCTCTTGACCCGGGCGTTGTCGCCTTCTCTCGGGCCACTGGATCCTCACGGATCGATTCTGCTCGAAGGGTGCGGCAGAAAGACGGGGTCTGGGAAGTTGGTCATGTTCTTATTCGAATTGTCTGCAACGTCAGATCTCAGGGGACCAGAGGCGCGAGTTCGCAGCCGCCTGCTCCTTGCAGGGCTTCTGTCAGTTCGCAGCCGCCTGCTCCTTGCGGGAGCAGCGCGAGGCACTTCGGTGGCGAGGCTGTCGAGGACCGCTGCATTGCAACCAGCACTTCGGGGCGGACCTCGTGGCGCGCTGCATCGCGCACGCACTAGGCTGTGCGCATCGCGCCGTAGAGCGTAGACCTGTGTAGAGTGTTGGTGCACAGGAGCAAAGCATGGGAGCCTTACATAATCAAATAGCGGAAATGAGGAAGACAATTGAGCAAGTCTCGTGGGGAAGGGGGGTGCTGCTGACCAAGTCTCCCGTTGCGTTTGCGTTGCCATTTTGCGTTGCGTTTGCATTGCCACTTTTCTGGCCATGACGTCTCCCTTGCTCCGCGTTGTCAGCGCACCCCCGTCCCATTATCCTCCGCGGTGTTGTTAATCGTTACGTTTGTCGGCCCCAGCCTCATCGGCGCCTGCACCTGGCATACAAGTCGTGTTATGTATGAAATTCAGGTCAAATCTCTGATGTCGTTGTCAGTGATCATTTTCCCACATCAGCAGCATTGCCCCCCTCATGCCCTTCCAACCCCTCTCGTTCTCAGTACGCGTTTTGCAACCTTCCGTTCGCCTTCCCCACCGCCTCCGCTTACGACTCTTCTCCACCTCACCCTCCTCTTTTCGGGCCATGGCTCGGGCCCCCGGCGTCCGTTGTAGACGAATTCGAGCACCCCAGAGCGCTCTCGGCGAGGCGCTGCTGCTGCATTCCGCGGCCAGGCAACTTCCAGGAGCGAGCGCCCGAAAGCCAACGACAAAACCTGAAAACCTTTTTCGCCCCGCCCCGCCCGCAGAGGAGGATGAGGAGGAGCACGAACAGGAGGAGGAGGAGGGGGAGGAGGAGGAGGAGGGGAGGAGGAGGAGGAGGGGAGGAGGAGGAGGGGAGAGGGAGGAGGGGGTCAAAACCTTATGAGCCCAAACCCCATGGGCCGAGACCGGGGGGCCGAGACCCTGCGCGCCGGATCCTATGGGCCGAGACCTGATGGTCCGAAGTGCGACGCCGCATCCGCTTTTAAGTCGTAGTCGCTCTTCGGCTGCAGCCGCCTTTGAGCCTTTGTCGATCACGGACTTTGCCTGGCCATATATTCAACAGCTGAACGCCATTGTTGCTATGGCGACCATTTGCGCGGAACGTTGCCGCGCCCCTTCCTCGCGCCGCGCTGCGCCTTCATGAGCGCAGCCTGTTCCGAAATTGTACAAGACGCGTCCTTTTGCATATGTTTTGTGACGTAGAGGCTGTCTATGATGCGCCCGATGTAGGTGCTGGAACTCGTGCTATCGGCGCAGCTGACTTGTCTACGGCGCATAATTACGTAACACAGCCAGGGATGATGGCGTCGTCGCCGTGGTCGATGTGATGCTTGAGGTTGTTCGTTTTGTGGAATGCTGCTCGCGGGGGCCATGTAGCTGATGCGGCCGTTGTCGACGATGTCTTTAATGGGCATTGCATTCGCTGCGGCGGAGTTCCTGATGATTCGGGCACGTTGCGCTTTTGGGAGATTAAATTGAACAAAGGGCGCGAAGGCCCAATCGCCCGCGGGCGAACTTGCGGGCGCGTGCCCGCAAAAATAGCCAAACATTGGCTATCTCACGCGCCGACGAAGTCCAGTGGCCGTTCGGCGCGGTCTTCGGGCCGCGCTCATCGCGCAGCCTCGGACAGCCCAAAAGGGCTTCGACAGTTTTTTCCCCGCACGCCAGGTCGGGGCCTCCTCCGGCTATTCCTCTCCCTCTTCTTCTTTCATTGATGTAAGGGCCCTGTCTCCTACGTCGCCCTCCGCAGACCTGGGTGGTGCAGACAGGTTGCGGGGGGGGTAGGGAGCGGAGGGGGTCCCTGTCGCTTTCCTAAACGGCGAGTCGAAAGACTCGCTCGTGGGGGTGCACCGTTCCCTTGGACGCCCCCCCCCCCTTTCCAAGAGCTCTCGACCCCATTCCTCCCCTCTCGCCCTCCCCTCCTTGCAGAACTATCACAGGCTATCGCCTTATCCGTCTTGCCAAACCTTGCTGCAGCAGCTTTGTGAAGTGTTCGCCGGCATTTGGCTCAGTAAACTTGTCCTGGGAGAAGGGTCCTACACCATTGTCAAGGTAGCGGAACCCGTGGTTCAATCTTCGGGTTTCTGTTTACCTACCCAGGCCAGAATTGACGCGGTGGCGACAGCCGCTGCAGTCAACGTCACCGACGAGGACAATCCACATTTCTTGGCGCAGGGCCGTCAGGTGAACATGCGTGGAACAATTTACCGTGAACACAAGTTCGAATGTTGCAGCGCTGGATTAATGATTGGACATACGATTATGAACGAGTTCCTGGAAGCCCTACCAGCTTGATGTCTCGTGGATTGCGTTAGGCTGGCTGGTGGCTGTTTCTCTTGACGGGACTCTGCTAGTTTATGCGTTCGTTTGTTGATTTGTCCTCCTCCACGGAGGTGGCTGCTCGTATAATGCTCGGCCGCCTGGGGACCGTCCACTCCTGCGGAAAGAATGCTGTTTCAGAGCACGTTCCCCCCTTTCCTCCTCCTGTTCCTCCCCCCTTCCTCCTCCCCCTCCCCCCTTGGTCTCCTGGCCTCCCCTTTCGCCGCCGCGGCGGGCCCGGGCGTCGCAATGGCGCCGCCCCCCCTGGCCAGCCTGGGCGTCGAGCGCTGCATGTATGCTGGCGCGTCGCCGAAACCGCGGTAGCGGGCGCGGCGCCGAAGGGTGCGCCGCCGAGCGAAGCAGACGAACAAGAAACGTTCGTCGGCCTCCAGACACAGGCCCTGGCGCGCAGAGCGAAATATCGCGTCGCAGAACGCAGCCTCAAACATTGCCCCACTCAAAAGTGCCCCGCGGAGCAGAGGCGGACAAAGCTCCAGTGCAGCTGGAGTTCAGGAGCTCGGACATGAGATCTTGTTCGCGGGGTTTGTACGTTCTGGGGCGGACCACCGCGGAATCGTCGCAGAGGAGCTCGCTGCCCCCGAACGAGCGAAGCGACGCGAGTACGCAACGTGCGACGCTTTCAAATGGAGGCGCGCGAAGGACGCTGACTTCCAGGTGCGTCTTGGAGGCAGCGGGGGCGGCCCTGGGAATTATGGCAGATTGATTGTGTCTCACTCGCACTTGCTCCTGATATTATTCTCTTTGGGCAATGGGGCTGTTTGGGGCGTCCCTTCAGGCATGAGCGAAGATACTAGGAAGCCATGGCGAACATTATTGACGAACGAGGGCGCTTTGACATGGGCGCACCGGCGGCGCGCGACACTGCAACTGCTTCGTTGGTCCACGACGGTTCGTAGTGGAAGTCCTGTCGTGAACAGCCATCGTCGGAGAGCCTGATGCGTGCTCCTTAGGCAGTAACGCCGTTAACAAAAGTAACGAGCTCGGCCTCCGCGCGACAGAGGTCGCGGCGCCGCGGGCGCTTGCAGGCGCGATCGCGACGGCTTTGACAAGCGCAGTGGCGGAGAAGGTTTGCGTCGAGACTGTGATAATCCATGCGCGGCGCGAGCTGGACTCCGTCGTGGGTGACCCAGAGTTCGTGGACCCGTTCGACTTCGTGGTCAATCTGAGCGCGGGGAAGGCCCCCTGCATTGGCGCGCTGCTGAATTGCCGCCATAAGTTCGCGAACGGTAAGAAGCGGCAGCTCCGTCTCGGCGTTTTCGGCGTGGCTGGCCAACTGCCCGCGCGCTGCCCGCGAGCAAAACTCGGGGCGCACGCGGTGCCCTGAGACAGATGCGTTTTGGGGAGAGGCTGAGAAAGCCCCGAAGGTGCGCGAGCTGGAAGAGCTCCTTCGCTTCTGGCAGGTGGCCCTGAAGCCTGCGACAGACGCCATTGCCCGGCAGTCGAGAGACAAAGCGGTCTGGGCATCCCAGTCTTCTGCGAACGTTTGTTGCCAGACCGCAGATGCCGTTGCGAAAGACCAGGAAGGGGGCCCGGGCGCCCTGCTGCAGGCGAGGGGCAAAAAGTTGCGCGAGCTGGCAGCTGAGAAGTGCCCGGAGGAAGTGTTCGTTCAGCGCGAGAGGGCGCGGGAAGTGGGCGCCCCGGATTGGATTGATGATGCCAGCGCGAAGAACGAAGATGCAGAGGGCTCTCTATCCGCGTTGGCGGCGAGTGGAACTGGCGAGAAGACTGCGCCAGGGGTTGCCCGTTTCGGCGCAGACGGCCAGCCTCAGAACAGCCAGGAAACGAGGCACTGCGCGGACAAGACATGGCCCGTCTCGGCGACGCTGCCCCACAGAGAGTGGCTCCAGCCCTACGCGGCCCAGGATCAAGGCCGCGAAAGCGCGCGTGAAGCCGCGGCGAAGGTCGTCGCGCGATCGCATCGCTCATCCGCAGCGGCGGGCTCGCAGCTCGTCGATATCACCATGGGCGCGGGCGCCGAAAAGGGGGGGGCGTTGCGGCCGCAGACGTGGAAGCGCAGGCTCTGGCACTGCGGCTCGCATCCCGACGCAAGAGGGCTGCGTTCGCAACGCGAGCGCCGACCCCAAGGGCGTTCCCGCGCAATGCTGGGCCGTCTGGACGACGTTTTATTTGCGCCCGGAGTTCGAGGCCCTCGAAGATCCCTCCATGGCCGCGCGCCCGGGGGTTGGGCGTCCGCTCGCGGCCGTGGCGGTGTCGCGGGAACGAGAGCTTCTGCCTTTGCTGGGCGGTGGAGAAAATCACCGCCTCTGAGTTGGTTCGGGGGGCGCCGAAGCTTGGGCCCGCCGGGCGGCGTTCAACGCGACCGCGAGGGGCGAAGAAGTCCTCGCGGCGCCGACGACCGCATCGCAAGCGCTGGCAAGCGTCGACGCCCCATTCGCCGACGAGCGGCACCGCGCTCGACAAGTGGGCGGAACTTATGTTTGAAAGTGGGCGCATGGAAGACACAGGACGAAAGGTATGGGACTGGGGGGGGCCAACGCAGGAAGTCGAACCAGAAGGCGGCCTAAAAGAGGCGCGCGCGCAAGCTGCATCCGCCGCCCAATGGGCGCGCGGCGGCGCGGTCGATCCGCGAGGCGTCTGAAGCCGCGGCGGCGGCGAAAAGTGAACGGCCCCGCGCGCGCAGGAGATCGAGAGAGGCGTACCAAGTGACATTGCTGGCCGCGCGAAGTAAGACCCGCGCGCAGACGCGGGCTGCGGGGCACGGGGGGGGGGGGGCGGGAGAGGAAGGGCAGGGCACTTTTGGGATGGAGTGGCTAGTGGTCACCACGGAGACGGCGCCATAGCCAATGAGCTACAATGGGTACTCTTCGGCTTCGCCGTCGCGC